CAAATTGATCAAATAAGATGCTTCTATGGATTTCTAATATATATATTTTATTTTTTGGGTTTTTATTTATGGCTGGATCAAGTAGATCACTCTGGTCAGTTTAGGTTGGTGAATTGGAGAGTAAACAAAAAGTGCATGTCTATCAAGGAGGTAGGGAATAAATGATTTTTCCACAGGTTGATCATCAATTTCATGTGGAAGAGCTCCAGGGATGACTTACATGAGCTACCTAGTAAGTTCACAGCTTTGGTCATAATTTTTATGAGTTTTCTGCATTTCCTTCCATTTATATATGCACGCATTCTCAGGTTCCAAAAACCATCGCTTGCAAGTTTAATTTCCTATGTAATTTTATTTGGCAACCCTTTTTGGGTCAACCGCCCAAGTAGTTCATGAGTCAAATCGTCCATTTTCTAATTCCCTTTGTGCATTAATTGTCATATTGAAATCTCCAGGTCGGGATTGTTAATGAGTTGGCGAATTAAGGGAACATTTTGATTTGGCTTGTACTGCTTCCATACCAAAAATGCTAGTTCATTAATGACCAGCATTTCTATTCTAAGGCTGAGTTTCATTGCTGCAACGGTAGTATATGGTCCAAAAGACCTCTTTTTGATAGAGCAAATCCCCTCCATCACTATTAAAACTGAAATCTTACTTGTATTGCAATACTACAAGTGATGGAGGGAATTCACGCCAAATGAAACAAGGCTTTTTGAACCATATACTACTGTTGTTGAAATGAAACGTGGTCTCAGAATAGAATTTGACTGGCCCTGATGGTGGAACTAGCAATATTTGGAAGAAAGCAGCAATGTAGTGCAAGCGAGCTGTGACTTCTCCAAACCCAGCCCAGCAGCTTATACAAGATAGTGATTAAGGTATGATTAATCATATAATTGAGACTGTTGAATTTCAAATGCCTTTTCCTTTATGCATTTTAAGTTGGATTTCAAAATTTGAATCCCAGAACTGATCAGTAGTTGTTCCTTGTAAAAGTTCTGCAGTTTATTTCACGTAGATTTTGATTCAAACATATAAAAACGAAATAAATTCTTTCCTTCTCCTTAGTTAACCTGGTTAAATGCTCTCTTCGATAAGAATTTATGCTACAGAGTACACATGACAATGTGTATTCATGGACAAATGTGCTAGCTCTCCTATTTTTCCTGCCACTTGATTCACCTAATATTTTGTGACTTGTTTTAATTTCTTATGTTTTTATTATTATTTTAGATATTTTATTTAAATATTTTTAATTAACTTAAAAAGTTACGAATTTTTTTATATATAATATTTTTTATTATAAGTTGTTTGCAATCTATTGATGCTCCAGAAATCATAATTTTCTCCGATAAAAATTGGAAATGGGATAGAAGTTTGGCTAGCGGTAGACATGATGGAGGACTGTATATCGAACCCTTGCACCCAAGGTGACCGAACTTTGCTCTGATACCACTGTTGGTTTATGGGAGAACAATGGAGTGATTTTATTTATTCAACAATAGATGAGTACAAGGCTTTATAGAGGACCAGACTTATCGGCCTTTCTAAAATGTTTACTAGGCTTATTGGCCTCCTTCCTATTTTCTGACTTATTGGCCTCTTCTCCCTTACTACTAGTTTACAATATAATAGTATTACTTTATTACAAGATTTTTATTAGGATTTTTCTAGAATGCCTACAACAATTATGCCTTAAAGCTTGACTTTGTCAAAGTTGGTGGACATTTCTTGAGGTTTCTACTTTTTCTACACTTCAACACAAGTGTGCATTAAATTTAACAATTTCACTCATATACACATAAACGCGAAGTGAGATCAAGGAAGGAGTCTGCACTGCAGAGGATAGTGATTCCACCCATGGAATGATCATATCAAATATGATATCGGAATCACAGATCGCTTCTTCTGGCTTCCCCCAACATACACCGCAAAATAGCCTTTTGGGATATCTAAGGTCTTTGAGGCAGGTACGTGGTTTAGACTTCTCTTTGCATTAACAATTCCTGGCAACCAGAACCCCATGGTGCTAGATTTTTAACCGGAACTAGAACAAGAAAACAAATTCAATGGAGTTGGGAAACAAAGAAGGCTTGGAGGGTTTGAAAGGAGAGACTTGAGTTGATCATGATAATGCTGATCTCTCATGTATATATAGATGAAAGGGTGTGGCGAAATTAAATCATCTGCTACATGAAATGAGTGGGGTAGAGGCACAAGTGAAGGACACTAACTAGGTTGTGAGCAATCAAGAAATCATCGTTATGTAGAAACATAATTCCCTAGAGACAAGAACGGACCACCAGAAGATAAGCATTTTCAATCTGGTAAGTAGTCATCAAAGATTATTATTAGATAAGAAGCATACTTGAGACATGCACACTTCTCTTTGTGGTCACAAATTCGATTGAACAAATTGGAAGACTGATTAATAATTTGTGGATTAGGTAACCAATTCATGGTTTCTTCTTTGTTTTTCAATTCAACCTCAATCAAGAGAAAGACCAGCACTGTACTGCGTCTGTTGTGGTCCCATTCAGAACTAATACAAAAAAGGTTGACCAAATAAACAAAATAAGATAGTTTCTTAGCTGTTGACTATGGAAATAAGGGGTGAAAACTCCAAAGCCACAAATTCTATGGTTATGCATGGTTCTCTCAAACTATACAGTATCCCTTCGTATCTGGGCCAAATGCAAAAGTTACGTAACACCACCAGTTCTTGTTTGTAATGCAGCATTAATTGAGACACCAACATATGCAGTATAGTTAGTCCAAAACAAATAGTAACCATGAAATTAAAGCATAGCATATCTGCGAGAAAATACTAAGAAGTCCAATTTGGTAATTTGTGTTAGCTAGTGAGCGCCAAGAGAAGTAAATGTCTCGGGCATGCCCCTACTGGAAAAGAGGTAGGGAATAATGTTTCAACATATGAATACGTTTCGTCATTTGCATGTGCCATGTGATCCTTTGATTTCGCACAAGCCATTGTCCCTCATTGTTGCCCACCTCATGCCTCTGCGCCACTTATTTCATGTAACGGATGAATTTTCTCATCCCATTCATCTATATATACACAAATGATCAAGTTCACAAGCATCAAGTATCTCCGTGCCAAGCATCAAAACTCTCTCTGTTTCCTAACTCCTTTGAATTCTTTTTCTTCTTCCAACTCCAATTTAAAAACAATGGGGTTCCGGTTTCCAGGAATTGTCAATGCCAAGAAAAGTCTAAGATATTCAGCTTCTTCAAAGACCTTAGAGATCCCAAAAGGCCATTTTGCAGTGTATGTTGGGAAGAACCAGAAGAAGAGATTTGTAATTCCAGTATCATGAGCCTTTATTCCTGGATTTGCTTAATCAAGCTGAAGAAGAGTTTGGATACGATCATCCCATGGGTGGTATCACAATACCCTGCAGTGAAGACAGCTTTGTTCATCTCACTTCCTGCTTAAGTGTATGAGTGAACACGAATGAAGGTAATCTGGGATCCAACTTCATATAAAAAACATCCTCTTTTTGGAATGTCAAGATTATGACTAGGCTATTATGGATCATACTCGCTACTTCTGTTGTTGTGAATCTGGGACAACGTCTGCAACAGTCAAGTTGCATGAGCTGAGCACAAAGATACAAAATTTGTGAAGCAGTCGAAAGACGATAGATATCATGAACTCTCTATGACCAATAGCCCCGAGACGATGACTTCAATTTTGAACTAAAAAACAGTCAAATTTTTTCTTTGTACCCCCAAGTAAATTTTTTTATCTCTCCAGGAAAAATGGGAGTATATAAGACATTTTGCTTCTCCATTCATTAATTCTTGTCTTAGATTTTGCATTATAGGGTTATCTTCTACCAGATCTGTTGTATGCCATATGGCAGCAGATTTTCATAATGAACGAAGCATGATGGTTATTCTAGTTTGTATCCGTTAATTTGCCATGCCTGTCTCCCATATTAATGATGTCTTCAAATAGAGCACATTTTGACATGCCAGTCTCCCAAATTAATGATTCCTGCAGGTAGTGTTATGATATAGGTCAAGAAAAAAAGGGGAAAGTTGTCATTAGTCATCATAATTTACGCCTCTCTCAACCAGCTTTAACATGAGGCGAAGTATGCCATTATACTTTATTGATCTTGAGAAAATCTTCACTGCCATTTGATGATTATAAAACAGAACTACAATTAGATAATAAGACAAGAAAGTGGATGAGGAATTAAACTATATTCATATCTTCCCATATGTTCCAGAAGAGCAAAAAATTAAGAACTGTACATGGGGTATAAACACAAATGTCCTCTTTGAGATCAAAATTGGAGTCAAGATACGTAATTCAACTGTATTACAAGGTTTCTTAACTTTGGATCCCGGTTCACAAGCATCTTGATGATTTCTGAAGCCTTGCCAGAGTCACAAGCAACACAAAATGTGAGTGTGATCATGCATGTTCTTCTTTCATCTCGACTTAGTGAGTTGTGGTCGAAATGAGGAATACTTCGGATACAGAAGGCTTCCCAGATTAACTTCACTAGTGTTCATTCATACACATAAACGGGAAGTGAGATCAAGGAAGGAGTCTTCACTGCAGGGGATGGTGATTCCACCCATTGGATGATCATATCCAAATTCTTCCTCTGCTTGATTCAGCAAATCCTGGAATAAAGGCTCATTCAGGTATGATATTGGAATCACAAAGCGCTTCTTCTGGCTCTCCCCAACATACACTGCAAAGCAGCCTTTGGGGATATCTAAGGTATTTGAGGCAGCTATGTGACTTAGACTTCTCTTGGCGTTAACAATTCCTGGCAACCGGAACCCCATGGTGTTTACACTCTCAAGAGGAATCAAAACAAGAAAAAGAATTCAATGGAGTTGGGAAACCGAGAAGGCTTTGTTGCTTTTGCAAGGAGAGACTTCAGTTGCTCATGGACCGGTCATGAGTTTATATATGGATGAAAGGACCTGCGGAAAATCATGAACTACATGAAATGAGTGGTAAGGAGACACTGAGGTGGGCACCAATGAGGGACAATCTGGCTGGTGAGAATTCAAGAGGTCACATGGGTTTGCCTTCCTACTCCTTTCCGGTAGGGGAATGCTTGAGGAACTTATCTTTGTTGTCACAATTTTTATTAGTTGCAAAACCAACTGATTTATATATTTGGTCATTGATAGGTTTCAAGCTTTTCATTTACAACTGGAGACAGGGGACATTGATGGTCATGCTAGGGTGGTTTGGTGACTGGTGGACTGATTTGAAACAACAAAGCCACATGCTAGGTTGGTTTGGTGCTCCCAAACAAGTTATACAGCACCAATTTTCATATCCAGGCCCACCAGTTCTTGTCAGTGATGTGTAGGTCCTTCCCTTCATTGAGCATGAAGTCAAGAAGAACATGTCCTAAAAACAAGTATCCATGCAGTGGTTAAAGTGCCTGATCCACAAAATGATTAATTAGTGCACTTTGGTCAATTCGGTTTGTGAACACAGAGAAGTTTGGATACCTAAAGCATGCCTCTAATTTTTATTTTTTTCAAAATAGGCTTATGTTTCATAACAAAATACTAGGTTGATATTTCTCTTGTGATTCTGTCTGTTATCTGAAGGATGTAGGGAATGATGTTTCGACATAGGGATACAGTTTGGTCATTTGCATGTGAAATCTGTGGGGAGATGATTTATGTGACTAGAAAGACAACCCATGTGATCTCTTGATTTCTTACAATCCATTGTCTTCACCACTCATTTCATGTAGCAGTTAAGTTTTCACAGTGGTTTCATCTATATATACACTCATGATCAGGTTCATCAACAACTCAAAGTCTCATACTTGCCAACCATCAAAGCTTTCTTTGTTTCCTAAGTCCTTTGAATTCTTTTTCTTGTTCTGATTCAACTTGAGAATTTGAAAACCATGGGCTTCCGGTTGCCAGGAACTGTTAACACCAAGAGAAGTCTAAACCAGGCAGCTGCTTCAAAGACCCTCCCAAAGGGCTATTTTGCAGTGTATGTTGGGGAGAGCCAGAAGAAGCGATTTGTGATTCCGTTATCATATTTGAATGAGCCTTTATTCCTGGATTTGCTGAATCAAGCAGAGGAAGAATTTGGATTTGATCATCCAATGGGTGGAATTACTATCCCCTGCAGTGAAGACACCTTCCTTGATCTCACTTCTTGTTTACGTGTATGAGTGAATGCTAAGGAAGCTAATGTGGGAAGCCTTCTGCATCCGAATCTTTCCTCATTTTGACCACAACCCACTAAGTCAAGATGAAGAAGAGGCTATAATTGATCACACTCACATCTTGTGTTGCTTGTGAGTCTGGGAAGCCTTCGGTAATCAACCGACACGACACCTTTGGTAATCACAAGCTGCATGAGCTGACCAGAAAGATCCGAAATTTTTGAAGCAGTCGAATGACATTGTCATGAACTCTTGATGACCATTGGCCCAGAAAACATGGACCCAATTTTGAACTAAAAGAGAGTCAAGTTTGCTCTTTGAACCCCATGTAAACGTTGTTTTTTTCTCTTGAGGAGAAGAGAATATGGGAATATATAAGACAATTTAGATCCTCATCCATTCTAATCTTATATTTTGCACTACTTATGTTTACTATCTTCTTCTGGCTCTCTGATTTAATTAACCACCAAATAGCAGCAGATTTTCACAAGAACTGAAGTATAATGGCTTACTTCAAAAATTATTATGGAATCTTTTATCCTATGCCAAAGTATTAGTGGGTTCTTTTTGTGTTTTTCACCAAAGTATTTAGCAAGTACCAGGTGCTATCTGAGTTGTGATGGTACTAACTCTTCTTGTTGATGTTAAAGACGAAGACTTCATGATCTATGCCTTCGTGCAGAATCCAATGGATTAGGACAAGAGAAATGGGATTCCTCTGGAACAACTCCTTAATCTACTGATATCGATTAGGACCGAGAAACTATGGGGATTGTAAGATACCTTTTGTTTTTGGTTGAAATTAAGAGACCTGTTAAGTGTGAACTACTAGGGACTGAAACATATTTGTACTTTTTTTCCATGTTTCATGTTCTCATTTAGTATAAAAGTTCCAATAATTGGAACAAGCAATCTGGTCTACAAAAGCCCTAGTATTTACCCTGGATACAACTACTTCTAATACAAGCCATCTTCAGCTTCATTGAGCGGAAAATCAGAATATTTGGCTGTATCTGTATCTGATATTATTGGGAAAGGAGGCCATCTTCAACTTTGGGATTGTGAGATGTTAAAATTTGGTCTACTTCGAGATTCCATTTTTGTATAAGGCAACAAGCTACAATTAGATAATAGCTTACTGAAAAATGAGACAATAAAGTATGAGGAATCAAAATATATTATATTTTCTCATGTTTCCCGGAGAACAAAACATTCAGAATAGTACATGGCTTAAAAGACAAATCTTCTTGTCATCCAGTTCAAAATTGGAGTTATGATTTTGGGCTCAATAGCCTTCGAGAGTTCATGATATCGTCATTCAACTGCTTCACAAATTTTGTATATTCGTGCTCAGCTCACAAGCAGTTTGACCAACAAAGAAGGCTTCCAGATTCATAAGCAACAGAAAAATGTGCATATGATCAATCACAGCCTCTACTTCATCTTGACATGGCGAGTTCTTCTGATCGAACTGAGGCTGATTTGGATATGAACCAGATTCACTTCATTTGCTTTCATTCATACACTTAAGCGGGAAGTGAGATGAATGAAGGTTTCATCACTGCAGGGGATTGTGATACCACCCATTGGATGATCATATCCAAATTCTTCTTCTGCTTGACTCAGCAAATCCAAGAACAAAGGCTCATTCAAGTATGATATTGGAACCACAAATCGCTTCTTCTGGCTCTCCCCAACATACACTGCAAAATAGCCTTTTGGGATGTGTAAGGTCTTTGAAGTAGCAGCCTTGTTTAGACCCTTCTTGGAGTTAACAATTCCTGGCAACCGGAATCCCATGGTTTTTGTATTCTCAAGTGGAAAATTAGAACAAGAAAAAGAATTCAGAGGACTTGGGAAACAGAGAAGACTTTGATGCTTGGCAAGGAGAGAGACTTGTGTTGCTGGTTATGAACCTGATCTCTTGTGTATATATAGATGAAAGAGTCAGGCCTGCTACATGAAATGAGCGGTCTCGAGGAGCAGAGATGGGCTCCATTAAAGGATACTAGCGTGTGAGAAATCAAAACATAACATGGGTTGTCTTCCTGCTCACATAAATCATCTCCACATGCAAATGACCAAACTGTATCCCTATGTACAAACACCGTTCCCTACGTCTTATTTCATCTGGTAATTTGGTCTAGAGATTGATTATTAGGCACTTAGCAGGTAATGCATACACATGTAAGTAATATATAATTACAAGATTGATGTGGTCTAAACATTACTAATCTATGGACAGATATGTCTGAAGCCTGTTTTGTACTGCAAAGAAGTCCAAATATTTGACTTAATAATTGTTGGGCATCATGTTCTCCAACAAACATACAGACTTAATAACAACCAAGTTCTTGAGATAGAGATAGAAAACAGACCATGTGACCCTCAAATGCTTATGCCTCTTTCCAATCCCCACCCAATTGTCTCCATTAAACTCTGTCCACATTTCAGATATTTTCCTCTACACACCCTTTCATCTATATATACAGTTATACACACACAAATACACACTGATGATCCTCAATCTTTACAAACATGAAATCTACTGTTTGTGTTTTTCTAAAATCTTTTTGGGTTTTAGAGAGAAACGAAACTGATTCCTGATTACAGTTCTTAACAGATTTTGTGACTGAACTAATATAGCTCACAACCTAATATTTAATTTATGATGAGTCTTCTGTTTTATCTTGTATTTGTATCTGAGCGCAAAGCACGATCTATCTTGATCAAGGGCATATGTACATGGCGCGTACAACTTCAAAAGGCATGGGAAGAATATAGAGCTAGCATAGCACTGACTCTTAAAATTCAGATGCTAGAGTCCCACATGGAAAGAAGGTTGAACAAGCATAGATCTCATCAAATTAGACAACAAAAGTAACAAGCAAGAATTGGAGAAGCGAAAGAGTTACCTTCTTTTGCTCCGGGACCCCCTGCCCTCGTGTCTCCCTGGTATAAGCACATTAAAAAGTGAACAAATGAGATTCCAAATTGGTTGTTGTCATCTTTTAGATCCTTTTTCTATCTCTTCAACCGTTGGGAGGGTTTTTAAAAAAAATGTAGATTATAAGTTTAATGAATAAATGAACCATGTAATATACATCGGTGTAAGAATAAGCCAGGTCAGTTTCGTACACCAATTCAGAGTGCATGAGGGTAAAATTGAGTGTCATTATTAGTTGTTAAATACTTTGTGATTAGGAAATATATCTTGACAAATAGATTATAACAAATGAATGGAAAAAATTAGAAATACCTGCATATATAGTTATGGAACAGGCAGAGACTGAAATTTCAACCTGCCAGCAAGAAAGGAAAAGGGAGAGAAACCCAGAAACAATAGAAATGCGTGGCATGGGAGGGAGCCCCGATTATGTCACCTCCTTAGTTTTCAATTAAAAAAATGTAGAGAAATTATGAGGATCCTTCCCAGCCACCCATCTCCATTGGCCTCTGGGAGGCCTATCTCCCATTTCAAGTCAGCCAATTCTAAGAGTGTGTTATGCTCTCAAGATTTAGAGACCTTTATTTATAGAGAAGCCAAGGAGACATAAGTTGAAGAAAACAACCTACAGTGCCCATGGTTTCCATATGGTGAGGAATCTGTGTGCCACTGTAGTTGTTTAACCACATGTTTTGGCAATTTTCATGAGGAAGGATAAGGACAATTGGGTTCGCATTCTTGCATGCTTTCCACGCGTCGTAAAATACGGTCGTGATGTACCTATTGAACCATTTCTTTTATCAGTTCACGTGATGAATGCGATGAGAGAGAAAAAGAGAAACCGGTTATATCTGACACCTATGAATAGAAAAAAAGAATCCAAAACCGTAACAGGTTGGCGAGGAAGTTATGTTTTTTGTTTTCCAAAATTGGATTTTGGATTTTGGGGATATTAGTACCAGTTTTGCTCCACTAAATAATTCAAATGCATAATCAAACTTAAAATGAAAGTTACAGGTATGTTAGATATGAAATCTAGTTTCTCAAACTAGTGAATAATCTCATTCACTTTTGTTCAATTTTTCCATTATTGCTAGTTTTAGAATTTTTGAGTTTGTATGGACCTTAAGATTAAAAAAATAAAATTAAAGGCCGCAATGTATCTCAGAGGAAAAAGGAAAATAGAAAATATACACAATGGTTCATAGAATAATAATGAAATTTGATAATTTTTGTCAATACTTGTAATTGTGGGATTGCTGAGAAGATTTTTCTAGTGGACAATGTGAGAACTTGATTTAGCTATCTAGTTGATCTTACACCGAATGGCGCTAGGTGTCCCTAGTACTGTAAAGATGATGAGTGAATTTGAGACAGTACTGCTTGTTGTCCAAGAAATCCAACTTCTAACCAAGCCACCGTAAATCAAGTGGTAAGTAATTTGGTATAAGTTCTTTTCTTGACTTACAAGTAATAAGACTTGAATTCTTTGTACTGAATAAATTAGAGACATCTAGTGAAGCTGTAAGAAATCACCAGTACACATTGATCTAAAGTAAAATGGAGTCGCTGCCTGCAACTTCATTATGATCTCTCTTTCTGGACTATGAATGCTATTGGGCTTCTAATTTCTTGCTCTAAAAACCCATTTACCGCAACGGGCCATTCATCGGGCCTTTATAAATTCAGGTCCAATCGACATTTATATGGAGATGAATGCTTGATTGGAAAAACCATGAAATCTGCAGTACGTGGTGTAGAGGTATGATGGGAATGAATGGGGAAACATATGCATATGAAGGATCACATGGTTCCGTCTTCCACATCATCAAGAATTTGGCAATGATTGAGACTACATGTTTGTTGGATTGTGTTTCAGTTTTAACCAATCTGAAGTACTTGCTAGGACAGGAAACGTTTGCCGACTCTAATATATCTTATATCTTTACTTCAGAAATTCGCAAACATTAACAGTGACAGATTTTGTGTATGATCCATCATCTCTAAACTAAATCAACCATGACACTAATCTAGCCCAGCTCATCCACACAAAAGCCTTTGGAAAACTCTCTAGTCAAGATCACTACTTTTGCATGAAAGTCATTCAAATTCAAATGCATCACACAAAAATGGAAGTTGACAATTGCGCACTGAAATCTAGCAAAGATGAAACAACACTAGCCTTGTCAACTGTGTGTACCTTCATGGGATTTATCAGCACATAACCACTTTAGTGTCAAACCATAAGTTGCTTCCATCATGAGATAAACTAAGTAGATCATAGTGTTGAAGTTGGCTCGGCTTAAAACGGTGCTCGAATGTTCTTCTTCATCTTCAGATTGGTTTTCAAACTATTTTTTACCTTTATTGCTAGGTTCTTTTTTTTCTAGTAAATTGATTAAGTCTTGTTTAATGTCAATATTATCACTTTGTAATTGTCAGTTGGACTGTTTCAACTTAGCGATTTCCTTTTTGATAGTTTTTACTTCAAGTTGTAAAGTGACTTCTTTTCTTTTGTTGAATTTTTCTAGGGTAGTATTTAAACTTATTTTGGGGGGAATGTGTTGACTTCTGTCTTCGTTACCAATGACTTTTCTTAAGTTTTTTTAAATATTCTGACTTTAATTCTGGATTCTTTACTTTACTAATTAAATCAATTAATAATTCTTCTTGCTCTTCTTGTTTTGTAAGGACTTTTATTGACTTGGTTAGGACATTAATTACAGCATTTATCTCTACAACCAAATTGGATTTTTGGGGAACTTTATTGGGAACTAGAGGAACTATAATCTGCTGAGCTTGTTACTGGGGTTTCTGGTTCACTAATTTCACTAGACTCGGAGTTTTTTAATTCTAAAACTTTAATTAATTGAGTTTTTTCTTCGTCTGTGATTTTCAATTGTTTGATTGTGTCTTTAACTTTACATTCATTAGCATAATGACCATATTTTTTACTTTCCAACATTCAATTTTCCTTTTGTCGGTGTTCTTTTTAAATTTGTCCTTTTTGCTCTTTTTGGGTGATTCTGACCAGTTTTTTCTCTTTGGGTTAAATCTGTTTTGACTATAAAATTCATTATCATTTTTGAAAGGTTGTCGTTTTCTATTGTAACGTCTGGTTCGATTGTTTTGGTCATAATTCTTATGCTTGACTTTTCTAGATGGAGGATAGATTCTAGATCGTACTGTTCACCGAAATCTCCCAATTCGTATTTAGCTGAATTTCTTTCTGACTGAATTTGTTTACCTATTTTCATGTCAACACACATTTCCATTACTACTTGGTTAATTGTACTGATAATATTTCAATAAGTTAAATCATTGAAATCTATGTGACCCTGATCATTACTCAGAGCAGTTCGTATTTTGTGAGCGAAAAGATTAGGAAGACCATTAATGAATTTTTCTTTCCAAAATGGTTGGTTAATATCATCTGTTAGCATGACTCTAGATATAAAGACATCTTTGTACCGTCTGAAATCACTTGGGACATCTAAGGTTACTAAGCTGATCATGAATTCTGGCTGTAGTGTTACTAGGTGTACCTATGAAATGTTCAATTATCGTGTATAATAAGATATTGACTCCATCTTCAATTCCTGTATTAGTATTTTCATCAAATATAGGAAATCCATCTTCATCTAGTTTTACTACATGTATTATTTGACGTCTTGACTCTTCTGCGAGATGTTTATCCCACTGTTGAGGCCCAAAAATCCAAGGGCTAGGCCCAGGGTCATTCTTAGCCCAACTCGAATAAATCAAGAGAAAGGCTCAATCGGGGAATAAGAGAAATCGAAGAACGCGCTTACATAGGCCGGGAGCCATGAGTCACGCCAAGCAAGCATGCACAAAGGGACCAAAATTCACTAGCTTTGTAAATTCACGTTCACCTAATCCAACGCTATTTGATATGGTCCTGGGCAAATTACCGTGCAATGAAATCAATATGCAAAGCCATGAGAAGAATCACTATTTTAATACTAAGTCGTGCTACAAGCTTAAGTGGGCCCAAGCCATGTAATTACCCGGGGCTTGCTGAAAAGGTTGTGGTGTGGATGGGTATAAGCATTCGCAAGGCCCATTGAGGGATCAAGGAATGGAAGTTTTGGGCTACTTGGGAGCACCAAAACTCAAGCCCATTTATTGGACCCAAACACATGGGCTAGCATGGGAGAGAGAACATAACCCAATGCCTTAGAAAGAATATAGTAGTTTGCTTTGGAAACCCTATGTTAATTAGAGTACCCAAATACTTTGTTTAAAAAAAACACTATAGGCCAACTACTTCCAGTGGCTTGACGAAAACAAGTTAACTAGTGGCTGTAGAATAGAATACTACTGACCCAAAATTTTGGGAAAAGCCCAGCCCAAATGCTCTCCAAAATATCTAACAGCCAAGAGTAGGAAAAAAAAAACCAAAAAAAAAACAAAAAAAAGCAATCAACAAAGGGAAGAGAATAAGACCATTACAGCGAAACAATCAACAAGTTTTTCCATCAGCTTCCGCACAGATTTCAAAGAGGTAGGCTCATCAATGTTCTATGTCTTTAAAAGAGAAAAGTAATCTGGCAATAGGATGTAGAAGAGTTTGTATTTTTCTAAAACTTAATTTGAAGAGTGGTGGGATGTGTGGGGTGTGTGTATAGATGTACTAGGGTTAAGTATTAAGTTGAATGACATTTTTTGTCTTTTTACATAATAATAAAACTTACAGCTTAATGATTTAAGTATTGTGGTGAACAAAGAGAAATTTGGAGTTTAAATAGAAAATCTCAATCAATTAACATCAATGATTTGAAAAACACACTCCATCTTATTTATAACTTTCATGTCCTGATCTAAGATAATTCTCTCAATAGAATCAAGCAAAGATTCTTGCCAACTAAGATAAATCATTTAGAATATTGGGAAAAGGGGTATGCTAGCAACCTTCTCTCTAACCTTCTCCTTTGAACCTTTTCCCTTTTTTACTTGACATGTGTCATTCTCCTTACACTTGTTGGAGGTAAAACTAGACAGTAGTAATTAGACCAACTTAAAGATGAGGAGGAGGATGATGAAGGTGAGGACCCTCGGTATGTGAGAGCATTCGGTAAGTACATAGGCGTGCATACAGAAGACAAATGTATGTGGTTCACCCGAATAATGGGCTATGTCCACGGAGAAGTATATTCTCATTATGATAAAGACTGTATACATTGCACATAGGGTTAGACCCAAGAAGAGGAGGAAGAATGCCGGAGGCTGATGGCCGAAGGCGGATGGCCGAATGCTGAGGATTTGGCTGAGGGCAAATGATCCGTGGGCTTGTAAATGGGCCTAGGAGTAAGCCCATGAGGCCCTTATGAGCCATATGGTGCCCTATTAGCCTGTGTAACTCTCCCCTTCCTTGAAGGAGAGAAGTCTCCTTTTATAAGTGAGGGAGAGTCCCATCTTTTTATGTTTTGTCGATGTGGGACTCCCTTTCCTTTGCTTGGATTGGCTTGGGAGTGCTTGGCCAGATATTGTACAAACAGGAGTCCCCCAAGTTCTCGATTAAGGAGGTACTTATTGATTGGGGACTTGTAGTCATCAATGCACTGGCCAAGCAATGCTTCAGCTTCTTCTTTGCTTTCTCTTGTATGCAGCATTGGTGCAGAGTTGTTGAGTCAGTACCCGCTGATCACCGAAGGTAATGGTACTAAGTGCTGAGTAGCAATTATTGAAGGGTATGAAGATTGAGTCGCATGACTACTACTAGAGGCATGCACTATCGTAGGTGCTGAAGGTGTTGCTGCAATAATGGGTGTCGTTCAGCAGTTGGCATTGGTGCCGGAAGCTTAGAGGATTCTTCATGTGCCGTTCGGCAGGTAGCTTTGGCGCCAGAAGTTTAGAGGATTCTCCATTAGGTGTTGTTCGACAGGTAGATTTGGCGTTGTAACAGAGAAATGTCTCTATGAGGTGCCGTTTAGCATGTGGTCTTGAGAAAAGGTGTCGTAAGGTAAAAGATCCTTCATGTGCCGTTCGGCAGGTAGTTTTGAGAATATGCGCTTTTCCTTCATCGGGTGCCGTTCGGCAGGTAGCCTTGGCATAGAAATGAAGAGATATCTCATGGGAGGTGCCGTTCAGCATGTGGCTTTGAGAAGAGGCGCTGGAGAAGTGTCACCCGTGGGGTGCCGTTCGGCAACGCAAGAGCTGGAAGATGCCGTTGGAGCTTTGGGAGCTGTTGTAAGCTTACTGCCATAAGCTTGCGAGCTGATGCCATTAGTTAGGAGTTGTTGCTGTAAGCTTCGAAAGCTGATGTCAAAAGCTTGGGAGTTGCTGCCGAAAGCTTGGGAGTTGATGCTGTTATTCTTCATGAGGTGCCAGCAGGTAGCCTTGGCGCCGTAAGTGAAAAGTGTCGTTCGGCATGACCTTGAGAAGAGGCGCTGGAGAAGTGTCACCCGTGGGGTGCCGTTCGGCAACACAAGAGCTGGAAGATGTCGTTGGAGCTTTGGAGCTGCCGTAAGCTTGGGAAGCTTAGGAGGCCTACTGCCGTAAGCTTTGGGCTGAAGGCAAACGCCGAATCATTAGGGGGATGTGAAGACATCGCACGCGCCAAATGATGGAAGGGTGCTAAAGGCAGATGCCGAATCATTGGGGGGATGTGAAGACATCGCACGCGCCGAATGAGGCAAATGTGCCGACGACAGATGCTGAATCATTGGGGGATGTGAAAACATTGCACGCCGAATGACGCAAAGGTGCCGACGGCAGATGCCGAATCATTGGTGGATGTGAAGACATCGCACGCCGAATGACGCAAAGGTGCCGACGGTAGATTGTAGGAAGTGCCGAGGGCAGCGCTCACAAGGGTGCTGAGGGTACTGAATTTAAGAGTGCTGAGGGGCACTTGTTGAAGGGTGCCGAGGGCAGATTGTAGGAAGGAGAACGACGTAGTCTTTCGTGTCGCTTCCCACAGACGGCGCCAATCTGTTGGAGGTATAAACTAGACAGTAGTAATTAGACCAACTTAAAGATGAGGAGGAGGATGATGAAGGTGAGGACCCTCGGTATGTGAGAGCATTCGGTAAGTACATAGGCGTGCATACAAAAGACAAATGTACGTGGTTCACCCGAATAATGGGCTACGTCCACGGAGAAGTATATTGTCATTATGATAAAGACTGTATACATTGCACATAGGGTTAGACCCAAGGAGAGGAGGAAGAATGTCGGAGGAAGGCGTTGGGCCGAAGGCGTTGGGCCGAAGGCTGATGGCCGAAGGCGGAGGGCCGAAGGTTGAGGATTTGGCTGAGGGCAAATGATTCGTGGGCTTGTAAATGGGCCTAGGAGTAAGCCCATGAGGCCTTTATGAGTCATATGGTGCCCTAGTAGCCTGTCTAACTCTCCCCTTCCTTGAAGGAGAGAAGTCTCCTTTTATAAGTGAGGGAGAGTCCCATCTTCTTATGTTTTGTCGATGTGGGACTCCCTTTCCTTTGCTTGGATTGGCTTGGGAGTGCTTGGCCAGATATTGTACAAACAACACTTAAAACAATGTCATTAATATATTATACAAGTTAACTTTTGCTTTCCAAGTTTACCCTTATTAAATGTATTCAATTTATCCAAAAAAAAATTCACAACTTTCTTACCATATATATATATATTTTAAACATCAATGATATTTTTAAAGAAAATGTATGTTTTAAAAAAAAAGAAGAGGAAATGTTCGTTTTTTTTTAAAACACAAAGGACTTTTTTTTTTCCTATCTAAACCCATTGTGTTATAAATTTATAAATAATAATAATAATAAAAAAAAGGGGGTCTTAAAAGCAAATATTTTCTTAAAAAACAAATAATTGACGTTAGAAAAAAATTAATAAGATGGTAAGGAAGTTGTGAATTTTTTTGGATAAATTGAATACATTTAATAAGGGTAAATTTGGAAAGCAAAAGTTAGCTTGTTTAATATATTAATGACATTGTTTTAAGTGTAAGAAGAATGACACATGTCAAGTTAAAAAGGGAGAATGGCACATGTCAAGTTAAAAGGGGAGAAAGTCCAAAAGAGAAGGTTAGAGAGAAGGTTGGCAGCATTCTTCTATAAAATATTAGTAGAATTGAAGGGAATTTATGTTATGATTGAGCTGTGTGGAAAAAGTAAACATAAGCAGCCAAACTTGACCGTAATCAATTATACTAATCCTCTATGTAGGGTATTGCGTATTATCATGCATTCCTTTCTTTCTTCTTTGTTTCCAAGTAAAAGATCACTATATATAATAAAGACCCCTTGTCGGTCGAAGAAAAGTAGGTTCGAATTGAAGGCTACTTTCCCTTTTGTAATTGTATATGATTATTAGTTGAGAATATTCAAGTGTTTCCTTCTCTTCCTAGTTGAGAATATTCAAGTGTTTCCTCTATTTCTCGACGATGGTGACTAAGTCTTCTTGCCATGTACAAATTGCTCAGCTCTCTTCTCTCTCGATAATGACGACGGCTTGATGTGTTACTACTGTATATTCAAATCTTGGACCCCATCTCATCACCCTCTAGCAATGATCATTTTCCTTGATTTTGTTTATTTATTTATTTATTTATTTATAATTTTCTTGTATTTCTTGTGGAGCCTAATATTTTCTAGATTTGATGTTCTGCTGCAGTTTTTTAGTTGAATTAACTCTCAAGATCCATTTGGTATGAAATTTTAGATTGAAATTCCAATTTTTGGTGGGTCAGTTTGAATATCTATAAATTGTTTTTTACTGAACTTTATACTAGTGTTTAAATTATATAACGATGATCTTCTCATAATTTTTGAAATTTCCATTGAATATAAATTTTTTCTCTACTTACCTCTTCCAAGGTCCACTTAACAACCTTAGATTTTTAGGTATTTCTTGTCAAAATTTGGTGAATTTTATTTGATTAGAGGGAGTGTGCTGAGCGAAGGACTACTAAGAATGACTCATGTTGGTCCCAACAATGCTTCTTTTCTGTTTGTCGTTCTATATTGTTTTGCTGGCCTTTGGTGTCTCTAGCTGATGCTTTAATGAAGCAAGCTTGAATGACCAAAAAATTAAAAAAAAATGTCGAAGATATATAGCTTAAAATATGAAGAAGAAAAAAAAATTGTTTGGTCTGTTAGTGTTTGTTTTTATTTTGGGGAATGGTTAGAGATTTGTTTTAGTTGGTTTTGGAATCTCTGAATTTTGGATTGTTTGATTTTGGAGATTTTTTTTATTTTTTTATTTTAACAGGTTTGGTGCATATGCTTATATATGCCCATATCTGTCACATGTAATTTGGCTGTGTTTATGTAATCGTCAAATAGGTTTTAAATACAATTGGAAATGGTTTCTGCACAGGATATTGAGCAATTTTCTTTTATCATTTCCTTTCCATTATTATTTCGTTTCCATGTTTATGTGATTGATTGAATAATGCCTCTTTCATCTATTTGTCTAGGCAATGCTTTCAATGGTTTCAGTTCTTGATTGGAGGAATAAGTTCTATAATTTTTTTTATGTGGCATAAAATTCTATATGACCATTGAAACAAGTTAAAGAATGAAAATGCCATTAAAAATGCAATTTGCAATGTATTAAGCTATTTCCATATGCAATTACTGGCTCCCTGTCTGGTAATTGTGAGGAATCACTTTCTATGAGTTTAGTCATTAATAACATACGAGAAGTGTAGATGAGGGTATGGGGCGATCAATGTGATAAATGTCCAAAATGTCTCTCAAATAATGTCAAATTTTCAAACTAGAGCCACTATTTACGTGCAAAATGGCCATGGCATGCGGGTAACCACTTCGCAAATGCAATTACACTCTGTTTGGTAATTGCAAATTTGTCCAAATCTCATTCCATTACATATGCTACAAGACTTCGGGTCCTAATTTACATAGTTCTTCCTGTTAATTAGAACGTCATGATTCACCTCAATCCATAAATTTGTAATCGCCTAAACTTAGAAACCAACTTGGACTGGCATAACGATGCATGAAATCCAAAAACTTCAAGAAATCTGAACTTGTTCTAGGTAACCTGTAATTGCCAAATAGGGTGATACTATAATTTTTATACATTTATGCACACAAAATTTTCAATGAACGAGATATATATTTTATAAATGGTAATCAAGATGTTATCATGATCACTTAAAATTGAAATTTAACATAATCACAAATACATAAATATTTGACATGTGAAAATCTAATGTTTTACGAGCTACTTTTCGAAACGTTAGATCATTCTATTATTTTTCCTAATTTTGGTCATTCTTAATATTTTTATATTTTACTAAAATATTTGGTTTTTTATTTATAGAAATCATTCACATGCTAGTTACTGGTGGAGTAATAGAGAAATAATAGAAGTGAGATTAGTGGAAGAAAAACATGGAACAAATTTTTTAATGCCTATTATTATTATTTTCATCTAAATATATTTAAAATTTTCTGTTTATTGTAATTTTCTTTTAATTTATATTGGTTTGTTCAATTAATTACATTTTTTCTTTAAGTTTTCATATACATAAACATCAACCCAAAAGAGAAATTAATAAAAAATAAAAAAAAACTAGCATACTATTCGTATACATTAAATCAACTCAAAAGAGAAATAAATAATATAAACATGCTTTTTATAGTCCATGTTGGCTGTCAGCTTTTTTGATTTGTTTTTTTCTCTTTCTTCCTTCACTAATAGTACAGGTTGGTGGAATTCAATTTTGGTGTATTAAGAGCCATAAATTCAAAAGTTATCTGAGGACTGAAATTTGGGCGCATGGTAGAATTTTCGTCTGATACACACACACACAGTGCATGGCCGACCTTTGAATTCTTTTTCGTGTTCCAAGTCCACAACAATTGCTTCCCGTATCTTTCTTTTCGCTTGTCTCTCATCTGTGAACTTTCCACAACATATCCATCAATCCCTTCACACTTAAACTAACACTAAAATTTCAACATTAATAGAGAGAACAAAGCACCGAGTGGTATTGCTTTGAGCGAAGTGAAATGGCTGAGAACGTCGTCTCTTTTCTGTTGGAAAGGATCCATGATTTGCTCACAGAAAAAGTCAACTTCTTGATGGGTGTCCGTAACCAAATTAAGCTGTTGCAGCAAGAGTTACAGATTATGCGCAGCTTCCTAAAAGATGCAGATTCAAGACAAGAAAAAGAAGCAGTTGTACGAGAGTACGTTGAACAAATCAGAGATGCTGCTTATTCGGCGCAATATGTCATCGAAAAATTTGTCCACGAAATAGAGTCCACCAAACTCAACCGTCGGTGGAACAAGATCTCTCTGTTTTACAGATGTTTCAAATACGTCAGAAAATTAAAAACGCTGTACAACGTTGGGTCAAAGATTGAGGAGATCAAGGGAAAAATCTCTCAACTGAGGGTGAACCTAGAAACATATGGCATAAGGAGATTGAAGGAAGGAGAGGGGCCGAGCTATTCTGACAGGGTTGTGCCCGAATTACGCCGCAGTTTCTCTCACTTCGGCAACCATAATGTTGTTGGTTTGGTGGAAGCTGCCAAGACATTAGCGACTGAGCTTGTGAAACCAGGAAACTCCGGCAGTCGAGTGGTTTCGATATGTGGAAT